TTGACCCTTGTAGCATTTCTAAAGCAAGTAGTAACTAGTAAGCAAAGAAGGGATTTCTACGGATCCTCAGAAGGTGCATATTGTACTCAATTGGTCGAGGACGTCATTTGTAACTAAAGTCTGTAGTTTCTGAGCATGGCAATATATTATAGGAAGTTTGTCATACGTTTTTCGTAGATTGTCATTCCTCTAACAAGATTAACTCGAAAGGATGTGTCATTTGATTGAACACCAGAGTATGAAGAAAGCTTTCAAAAGTTGAAAGAGAGTCTAGTGTCAGCCCCTGTGTTGATTATTCCATCGGGAAATGAGCTAAGTTGCAAGTAGATGAGCAAGGTGTAGTTTTCTATGGTAGCAGGTTGTGGGTCCCAAAGTAGTGGTGATCTGAGGAAGGAAATTTTGCATGAAGCTCACTATTTTGGATACAATATTCATCCAAGAAGTAACAAAATGTATCGTGATCTCAAGTGTACGTTCTAGTGCTCATGACTGAAGCGAGAAATGGCGGAGTTCATTTATAAATGTGAAGCATGTCAAATGATGAAGGTTGAACATCAGAGACCCAATGAATTATTTCAATCGTTGCATATTCTTGAATAGAAATGAGAGGAGATCAATAAAGATTTTGTTATGATTTTTCCCAAATCTATGCAAGGTCATGATGCAATTCGGGTGGTTATAAATAGACTGATGAAGTCTGCTCATTTTTTTTTGTCAACGAGGCAAACTGATTTTGTTGATAAGTTAGCTCAGTTGTATGTAAAAGAGATTGTCAATTGCATGGAATCCCTAAGGTCATTATTCTGATCATGATGGCAGGTTTACCTTAAAGCTATGGAAATGCATTCAAGAAAGTTTGGGGATGAAGTTGAATTTCAATACAATCTTCCATCCCCATATAGATGGGCAATCTGAAAGGTTATTCAAATTATAAAAGATAATGAATTAGTTTCTATCTACTCTACATTATTTCTTTTACTATACATAAATCTTTCAACTCTGCTCGTTGAACTCTATCAAAAACTACCCACTACATGTTCTCTTTGTTTCCTCTTACTATGATTCCAACGTACATGATATTATCTTCATTGGTTCCATTGATGACAATGGTGGTGTCTAAAGCAAATTTCGGTTTGCGGCGAATTAAAGTCCGACAGTAAAAGTTGTGTCGCAAAAGTATTTGCGATGTAATAAATCCGTCGCAAATATTTTGCGGATTTACGATGGAATCAGATTGAGAAAAACGACATATTTGTTTTAGTAAAATGCTGCAAATTTCATTGCAAATTAAACCATATTTGGGGCGAAAATACCGTTGTAAATTATGGTGGAAATTCTACCGCAAATTCACTGCTATTTGCGACGGATTTTTCCATGACAAAATATGATACTCCCTCGTCGTTTCTACGTTTGCGACAGAAATTCCGCCATAAACCTAAACAAAAAAAACATCTCCTACAATCAGCTATTGAAATTTTCAACAATAACAATCCAAGAGGTTTCAAATCAGTATTAAATAATGCTAATGTTTCAACAAATAATGCTAAAATAAACATATGAAACATAGTTTTGTGCAATCACATTCTAATTAGGGGTGTAACTGAGCCGAGCCAGCTCGTGAGATAGCTTGAGCTCAACTCATTTATGGGCTCGCGAGCCAAGCTTATTGACCTCACGAGTCGAGCTCGAGCTCAAATTAGAGATTGTTTATTAAACGAGCATGAGTTCAAGGGCTCGTGAGCTCACGAGCCGTCACGAGCCGGCTCGATTCACTATTATGATTTTTAAAATACTTGCCTAATCCCGCCTAATATCATCCTAATCCCACCGAATACCAGCGTAATACCAGCCTAATCCTGCCCATTTGAGGCGGACAACGCTCGAGCCTTGAGGCACTCACATCAGTCATGTGCCTCGAGGAGATCGCATCAGTCGCACGGCTCGAGCTCGGACAGTGGGACGAAGTGAACGGGTGAATTTGACTCGGACAATGCGTAAGCGGACGAGACGACGCTGGATAGTGGGATGACACGGACGTGGATGGAGAGACGACGCAGACGTGGAGGCTCGACGATTCGGCTCGAACTCGTTTACAATGGAATAAGTTGAGCTCGAGCTCGAGTTCGCTTTCAGACTAATGAGCAGAGCTCGATTGTGTCATAACTCAACTCGTTTACACCCCTAATTTCAACTACTCAAATAAACAACATATTCCACAAAATTCTATAATTACAACAAAACTAAAGTATCAATAGTTCTTATACATCAAAAACCCCTACAATGGCAATCTTAGAAGTTTTATGCCTCCTTATTCAGGGAATCTTCTGTATATTGTTGAAATTGTGTCACAGTTACATCATAAATCAAGTCCTCAAACGTCCTAACTCTGGCTTTCTCAACTATGTTAGAACTTGTAGACGGGCAACACTGAGAGTTGAAATGAGGCTCATACTCACCATGTGAAGTCTAATACTAATATTCTGATATGAATCATCTGCAATATAGATCAATAATAATCTCATCTGGTGTGAGGTAGGCTTGATTTTTGTATTTGAAATATGGACAAGTAAACCTTTCCTCTGCCATAAAGGAAGGTAATTGACAGCCTATCTGAATGAGATAATTCACTCTGTTCAGAAATTCATATGTTAATGTCTTGCATCCTTGCAACAGTCAATTATACATCCAACTACTATAGTTACGAATATCCATAACACTTTGGATATAAATTCCTACAATCAAACAATGAGATTTGTATCAATTCAAAAAAAAAAAGAAATAAAATCATGCAACATGCCCATAGGAGCATCCTAATGCTTTCATTGAAAAGCTTTGTGAATTTTAATACTACAACAAGCCTTTATCCCACTGCGTGGGGTCGAGTGCATGAATCTTTTTTCTCTCTAGTGTCCTATTAAGAGTCAAATTCTCTTTCTAACCAAGTCTTTTTAAGTATTACCTCGACCTTTCTTAACATAGACCAGATCTAATACATCTGCACTCCTAAGAGGGCCAATAGAGAGCCAACTTTTTATGTGACCAAACTATCTAAGATAACTCTCTCTAATCTTATCTGTCACTAAAGCTACTCCAAACTTTTCATGTATTCTATCTCAAGTGTGAATTCACTCATCCACCTGAGCATCCTCATCTTTACAATACTTAATTTTATGCTTCTCTTGTAATGGCCAACAATATGCGTCATAAAACATTGCAAATCTCACCACTATCTAATAGAATTGTTCCTTATGTTGGAGGGGTACTTTTCTATCACACAATAGACACAATGCAGTCCTCCACTTCAACCATCCAACTTGAATTATAATAATAATATCCACATCTATTTCACCATCGCTTTGAACAATAGACCCGAGATAACTAAAAAGCGCACTCTTTGTAATGAATCGATCACCCAAAGTCACAATCCCACCACTAGATCTAGTACCACTAAAATTATGCTCCATATATTATGTTTTAGATATACTTAAATGAAAGCCTATAGATTCTAAGATTGACCATCATAATTTTAGTTTTTCATCAACTCCTTCTCTAGTCTTATCAATAATAAGAATGTCATTAGCAAAAAGCATACACCAAGGTACATCCTTTTGCAAATGTCATAGTAAGAAATCTAAGCTAAAAAAAATGATTTGAGCTTAAAGTTGATTCTTAGGGGTTGTTTGGCAACAAGATTTATGCTAAATCCTACCAAACAGGATTTAAGCAGCAAGTTGATCTCACGATGGAATAAATCCTCTATTTCCTCCTTTTTTCATAAATCCCATATTTACTAAATCCTAGAGTTTGGTGGATTTAAGGGATTTGGCTGAAGAAGCGTGTGAAAGGGAGAAAGCTAGTTACCTTCACAACGAGCGAGTTCTAGTCGCTACTTTGAGCAAGTCGCGGTCAGAGGGGAGATGATGGCTGTGAAGACGAAGAAGAATGACGAGGAAGTGTGACTTCGAATGCAACAAGAAGGAGCATCGTCGAAGGAGGCGATGCCACAAGGGAACATCCTGGAGCCGAGCAATGTCACGGTCCAGAACAAGAGCTAATGAAACAAACGCCCAGTTAGCCGGTTTAGATAGGTTTATTTGCGTTAAATTTGCGGTAGATTTCTGACGGATTTGTGGCGGAAATTTTGTCGCAAATCCGTCACAAATAAAATGACGAATACTTCTGTCGCAAATCCGTTGCAATTTCTGAGAAAAAAATTCTGCTGCGAAGGCCGCCGCAAATCGTTGACTTTCCTGTAGTGATATTGTCACTCCATAGGTAGCAGAATCTATCTCTATCGAAGCCATGACCACATCCATAGTCATTGTCATCGTGGTTGTAGCTTGTCCTACCAGAGACATTGCCAAACAATCAACTAGGATATTGGGGTACATAAATTTGATAACATTCAAATTTAAATAAAAGATTATATCAAGCAAGCTAAAATAATAAGTAAAATATAATACAAGTTGTGAAAAAAGGATCCATCTCAACATTAAAAACTAATCTCAATTTGCAAGCTAGAAAAACCCTGGGTTCCAAAATGAAAGGTTTTTTAAAATATAGACCAACATGACGAATTACCTAGGTACCAAAGTAATATTTAGCTAAACATTGTACAAAAATCGTGGCAGATAAATGCTTCATATTTAGGTTTGAGCATCCCCGTGCTTCCATAAAGTGACAAATAACACCTATTAGGGTTTACCCATATCATGTAAAGCACAATAAATACCATTAAGACTTTAAAAGTGGGTTAATGTGGAATCATAGATATAAAGAGATCGTCAGCTTGTAAGAAAAAGTCTAAATAAAAAACAATTATTTCCTAAAGCAGATTTCATCAGCATGAACTCTGAAGAAGAAATCATGAAGCTAAATTCAGCAGGATATAAAGATTAGAATGTTGATAAAAATGATGCAAGCACCTTGCAAGTTCACACTAGCTACATAATTCAAATATGAAAAGACAGATGAAAGTTGAATTCAATATCAATATATACCTTTTTAATCCTCCACAAATCACTCCCAATGATGAATGCTCCCTGCAATGATGAAGCATATGAAAGAAGTCCACTAAAGCCACCTTTAAGTAAAGTAGGCTTGCTCATGCAAATTAAACTTACCATTAAAATTGCAGGCACTGGTATAACAAGGTTTACATAGTATATATTTTTTGGGAAGAGAAAAACGTCAAGAAGAATAATTGCATTAACAGCAGCACTTGCACCCTGCAAAGCATAATAAATATTAGAGAACCAACTGATTAGGAAACAACCCAGTAAATCTAATGCTCATTCAGACTCTGTATTTCATATATCTCAAAAAGGCAAGCAAACTGGTATTGATTGGAAAATACATAGAAACGAAGATTTAGTACTGCATGTAACCATGCATGCCATGCTATGGGTAAATATTCTTTAATTTCTCAAATATATGGTTGAAATCAATTGCCAAAAAATAAAATGCTTGGATCAAAGAAACACATACCAATGCATGAGCTCTCCAATGAAAGGGGTTGGTACTCTGAAATTTTCAAGAAATGCACCATAGTTGCTTAAGAACAATCAATATGATTCTGGTAAAGGCTCAAGGAACAAAAACTTAACAATCCCTGAACACTCAAAACAAAGAGATCACGGGGTAAAACATTTTTTCTGCTGCTTCAGCAGCATTTTCAGGTACCTCTAAATATGCCCTGTGCAGTAAAAAGAATACTGATCCACCAAGTGCCCCAGCTACATATAATTTAAGCAGGAATGCCGGTCCAAAAAGTCTCGAAATCTGAAGAAAATCATTAGATATAATTACTTCATAATACTTAGGACGCTTCAGACTCTTTGAAGCGGCTTAAAATACATCAAAAGAGAACATGCGTATTCTTAAAAAAAAAATACTGTACAAGATTAAATACCAACATTTAGTGTAGCATAAAAATTTGTAAACTGAGTACAACAAATTTAAGTTCTTAAGCTCCATGAGAGAATGTTTCTTATGATCTAATTAAACAGGATCGTGATCTTTTTTTCAGAGTTATCAAGTTTGAACCTAACGTATCAGGGACTGCTGAAGAGTTATAGTGTAACTTTAACCATATGAGCCTCAGAAGTCTGCCAGTGTAAGGCAAAACTCCATATAAGGAAATCACTTGCAAATGATTTGCATTAAACATACATAGTTGTGGAAGAGAGTTATTGAGCATAGGTTACAACGTGATACTAACGTTTCTCAAAATCAATTTGGATTCATGCCAGGTGGATCTATACTATGGAAGCTCTATTTATTAAGAGGTTAGATGGAGAAGTATAGAGAGAATAAGGAGGATCTATATATGATATTTATTGATTTAGGAAAAGCTTATGATAAAGTTCCAAGAGAAGTGCTATGGAGAGTTCTAGAAAAGAAAGGAATTAATAAGGCTTACATTCAAGTCATTAAGGATATCTATGCAAGTAAGGGTGTCAAAAATTGACCTGACTCGAACCTGACCCAAAATTTTCGAGTTAGGGTCAACCCGTTTTAAGCACAGGTCAAGATCAGGTCCCGATTTTTGACCCTTATTAAATTCTGGGTCGAGTTCAAGTCAACCCAGAAACCTACTTTTAACACGGTTTTGTCGGCATACCCGCCAAACCCCGCACGTCCATTGCCCTCTCGCCTCGGTCTCAAATGCCCGCTGCTCTGGCGGCCTAGCCAGCGCTACCTGCTCGTCGCGTCGCCCATGCACACCGGAGAACACTGAGCCGCTCAGCGACCAAAGTCCTGCAAGCGCAACTCGACGGACTAGAGTTGCTTTTCTCCCATTCGTGCATTCCCACAAGTGAGACACCAAGAACCCCGCAAGCGGACGCCCAGTACTGAAGTCAAGATAACTCTCTCATTGCGAAGGTAACCATTTTCTCCCGCAGGAAAACGATCAGCTTGCTCGTTGCAAAAACAGGGACTAGGTTTTCATGTCAGGTCGTGTCCGAGTTGAAATTTCAAACACGTCTGCGAAAATGGGTCAGGTTCGAGTTGCGTCAAACAGTAGCGGGTCAGTGTCTGTTCGACCCGAACCCGACCCATAACCTGGTTTTGACACCCCTATATACAAGAGTCGTTGTGTTCACTCAAAAGGTGGCTTGACCAATTATTTTCTTATTTTAGTTGGATTATGATACGCCTTGGTATCAAAAACATCCCACAAACAGAATTTAGCGCAAATATATTTTACTGCTAGGAAAACAAATAACAAGAAGCAAGATACAATTGATCCTCAATTCGAGAGGTGGACTGATCTCTCTAAGTCTCAAGATGCAGCTAGAGACCAAGCACCAAGACACCAAGAAAAATAGAACTCTCACAAAACAATAGCATAACCCGGAAACTGCTTTTTTCATCCTATCATAAGGTTCCCATGTACCATCATACTTAGGAAGGTCCTTCTATTTGATCAACACTTTTTTTATTCCTCCTCCCTAGCATACCCCTTGCAGCTCTAGTGGTTCCAGTATCACTTCCAAATCTTCAGTTAGTGTTGCTGGCAACAATGGGCTCCTTGTATGATCCTATATAGCTCTTTTCAGCTGTGACACGTGGAAAATCGGATGTATGGTCACAGTCAAAGATAGCTTTAGCCGATATGCCACTGCTCTGATCCTCTCTTTTATATCAAACGGGTCAAATTATCGCAGGTCCAACTTCTCATTCCTCCTATTGGCCACAGTCTGCTGTCAGTAGGGGCGAAGCTTCAAATACACCTTATCTCCTACTTGAAATTGAACGTCCTTTCTGCATTCATCTGCCTATGTTTTCATAATTTGCTGAGCACTCAATAGTTGTCTTTTAAGTTCTTCTAATATATTTTCACTCTCTTTTAAACATTGTTCCACTGAAAAGACTGATGTACTAATCTGTTGAAAGTGTACCAAGTGAGGCAGATCCCTGCCATATAATACTTTGAACGGAGGCATTTGGGATGCTAAATGGTACGAAGTGTTGTACAAATATTTTGTCCATGCCAGCCACTTAGCCCATAGTTGGTGTGTCTCTAAACTCTAAAGCAAAATATTTAAGGTATAACTCCAAGCTCCTGTTGACTACCTCTGTCTGTCCATCAGTCTGAGGGTGGTAAGCAGTGCTCCTCTTTAGTGCAGTCCCATGTAACTTAAACAACTCCCTCTAAAAATGAATAAGGAACACCTTGTCTCGATCGGACACTATAGATTCTAGTATCATGTGCAATCTGACCACCTCTCTAATAAAAGCCGACGCTACCGTAATAACTATGTAAGGATGTCAAAGAGGAATAAAATGAGCATACTTGCTAAGTCTGTCCACCACCACCAAAATAATTGTAAACCCCTCCGATCGCGAGAGCCTGTCTTATGAAATCCATAGAGATCTCCTCCCATATTATGCCTAGAATGGCCAATGGTTGTAGTAGCCCCCCCTAGAGTTATAGCCAATGCACTTGTTCCTCTGGCAAACCTCACATATGGCCACCATCTCCTCCAAATCCTTATGCATACCCTTCCAATATAATTCAGTAGTCAATCTCATATGTCTTCTGTACCCCTGAATGACCCCCAACCGTGCTTCCGTGGAACTCTTGTAGTAAGTGCGGGATATGAACGGAGGTTAGTGTACCTTGGTATAGAAGTCTCTCACCATCTAATGAATAGCCAGGATAGCTATTCCCATCCTTCAGCATATCCTCTTTAATTCTCCTAAGATCCTTATCCTGCATACTTTCCTCCTTAATAGCCCCCAGTCCAACATCAACGGTATCGAAAAGACTAACCCTTGAAGCTCCCCCACACACCTGGACAAGGCATCAACTACCTTATTTTCCAGTCCTAACTTATACTGGATCTCAAAATCATAGCTCAATAATTTTGATAGAAATCTCTGATGCTCCTCGATCACCATCCTCTGTTCCAGTAAGTACTTCAAGCTCTGTTGATCTGTCATGGCGATGAAATGCCGACTCAGCAAGTAAGGCTGCATTTCTGAATGGTCAATACAATGGTCATCAATTCCCTCTCATAGACGGACTTCAGTCTTGTTCTGGTTGTCAACACCTGGTTGAAGTAAGTTATGGGTCTATGATTTTGCATGAGCACTGCTCCTAGCCCATATCCAGAGGCATCAATCTCCACCACGAACATCTGGCTGAAAGTGCTAAGAATGGAACTGAGGTCATGGCAGTCTTCAATCTCTTGAAGGCCAGAGTAGTTGTCTCTCCTCATAAGAAATTGTCCTTCTTCAACTGCTCTGTCAGAGGCCAAGCAATGGTGTTGTATCCTCTTACAAACCTCTTGTAGTATCTTGTCAATCCTAGGAAAACCCTTATTTCCCTTAGATTTCTAGGTAGAGGCCACCTCAACATTGCCTCAATCATAGTCTGATCTTGTGTTACTCCATCCTGGGATACCACGTGCCCCAGGTACTCCACACTGACATGGGAAAAACAACATTTCTTCATATTGACATTCAGTTGATGCTCCTGTAACACTTCTAAGACGACCCTTAGATGCTCCTTACTAGACTTACTGTACACCAGGATGTCATCAAAGAAGACAAACATGAATTTCATGAGGTAAGGTCGGAAAACTTTCTTCATGAGGAACTGGAAGGTAGCAGGGGCGTTGGTGAAGCCAAACGACATCACCAAGAACTCACAGTGTCCCTCGTGTCCTGAATGCTATCTTTGACACGTCCTCCTCCCTCATCCGGATATGATGGTATCCAAACTACAGATCCATCTTCATGAATACTGCCGCTCCAAAAAGCTCATCTAGCAACTCTTCTATCACTGAAATTAAAAATTTGTCTGGCACACTCTCCTTGTTCAGGATTTAAAAAAAGGGCTAAAAAAATCTCCAACTTCCATCATTCTTCTTAACCAGTAGAACTAGGCTAAAAAATGGCTCGTACTTGGCTTGATAATCCATGCCTCTAATATCTCCTGGATAAGCTTCCCAATTTCATCCTTCTGGATCAGGGTTAACGGTATGTTCTAACGTTGATTGGTGATGCCACCTCCCTTAGCGTGATGGCATGCTCTTGTCACCTCTATGGTGGCAATCCCTGAGGCGACTAGAAAACCTCACGGAACTACTGTATAATTGATTGTACGAAAAGAGGGATGTCCCCTCCCTCCTTTCCTCTGATCCCCTCCAAGCTCTGTAGTTCTACCATAAATCCTCTTCCTACCTCCTGTATGGCCCATACCATGATTTTTGGTGACACCATGGCTTTGGAGAGCCCCGTATCTCCTTTAATCATCCTCCTCCCTTCCACCATCAGCACCATTTACAACATCCCCCAGTTCACCTTGGTATCTCCCAAGGTCTGCAACCACCTAAGTGATCCCCATGATGACATCAGTGCTCCCCAACTCCAACGGGAGAAAATCCTCCCTCACCTGGATCCCTTGTATGGTCAAGACTACCCCCTTACACAACACTTTTCCTGTCTCCATCTTCCCCATTCCCATCATCACCCCATAGCTCACCCCCGTATCTATCAATTTCAGCCCCAATTGGTCTATGACCTGGTTGGAGATGAAATTGTGGGTGGCTCCACTGTCTATCAGCATCACTACCTCCTGATCTACTATTTGTCATTTCACCTTCATAGAGTGATTTTGGGTGAATCTCACTACTGAGTTCACAGAGACCTCAATCATGTCCAATTGTAGCTTTTCCTCCTTCGCCGATACCTCGCTCACACCTCCCTCAGCTTCCTCGTCATCACAGACGGTGAGAACCATAAGAGTTTGATCCTTACACCTATGACTCGTGTATTTCTCATCGCATCTGAAACATAACCCCATCGTCGGCTTGTCTTATACTTTTGCCTCTGTAAGTTGCTTAAAGTTGCCCCCCTAGGCACACTCCAATGTTGTCCTCTTTGGGAGCTTCTCTCTAGAACACTGTTGGGTTCTAGGTGCTATAGTAGAGGTACTCCGGTAGGCCCCTACCTTGTGGCTGCTTCACCCTCCTAAGTTTTTCCTCCACCCTCTTCGCAAGCTCCATGGTATACCTCAGCCCCCTAGGTCGCAATACCCTTAGTTCTACTCGGATGTCCTCCTTGAGCCCCTTCATAAAATTCCCCTCCAGTCCTTTCCTCGTGACTCCACCCTAGGAATTGCCGACGATATTTTTGAATGCATCTACAGCATTTTTTTCATCTATCTCTTCGAAATTCTCAAAGCAATTCTTGATGGACGAGAGTCTTTCCTCTGCTTCGGCTTTGAGTTGCTCCATCTCCCCCTCCAAAATATACACCTTCTTTGCTGCCATTAGATCAGATCTAGGCTCCAATCATAAAGTCAGTGGAAAAATCACAATTTTCTGCCTAGGAAAGTACTCTGATACCAATGTGATACGCTTGGCATCAAAAATAGCCCACAAACAGATGAATTCAACAATAACAGAGTTTATTACTAGGAAAACAAATAAGAAGCAAGATACAATTGATTCTCAATTTGAGAGGAGGACTGATCTCTCCTAAGTCTCAAGACGCTGCCAGAGACCAAGCACCAAGACACTAAGAACAACAGAACTCTCACAAAACAATAGCATAACCCTAACTCTCCCCTTTCTCTCTTATTTAAATCCTTCACAAAAATCAGTCCCCAGGATCCCCAAATCCCCCCCCTCTCCTTCCCTCTTTCCTAAACCAGAATTCTACATAGGTAAGGGATCTCCTTCAATCAGCCGCCTCTCCATCATGCCAAAATAAGCTTCTCAATTTTAGTCATGAGCCCCATCAATCAGCTACCCCCTCCTCTTGACTAATCCCCTCTTTCCCTTTCACGTCGTGGCCCCTATGGGCCTGATTTGCTGGGTGGGCTAGCTTGCGCCGGCTGTAAAACAGGGGCCCAGTCCCAATTTTGGGCTAGCTGGCTGGACCAGTCCTTCTTGGACCGATCTATCAGATTACATCAAGGATCAGCTCTAAGCCCATATCTTTTTGCTTTAGTCATGGATGTTCTTACTATACATTTGAAAGAGGCATATCCTAGTGTATGCTTTTTGCTGATAATATTCATTGTATTGATAAGACTACATGGATGTCAATATTTGACCTGACCAGAGACCCGTCCCAGACCTGACCATGAAAATTTCATATTCAGGTTAACCCGTTTATCATACGAGTCGAGTTCGACGAGATTCCGACCCATTTTAAAAATCGGGTCAGATTCGGGTTGACCCGAAAACCCGAAGGTGACTTGAATTGACCCACGAGCCCATTCTGCAACTCTCTTCTTCACTCGCGATTTGTGAAGGCCAGGCCATGCTCACGCTCCCTATCTCCCACGCCTGAGCTCATGTCGTGCTCGCCTACAGGCCTTGCACCGCGCTCACCTTCTAGTGAAATCTCCGCAGGCTGCGACGCTCCCAGCCTCCCGCGCTCCGCAACCAGCCTGCACCAGAGCCCGTGCACCCTAACTCGTACATGTGCCACGCACGCATGCACCATGCACGCCCTCCCAAGCCCGCACCACGCTCATTGCGCCAGTGTAATCCAGGTTAAGGTTTTGGTTAGGTAAATCCAGTAATCCACACGGGTCGGGTTCGGCTAGCTTGCGCCGACTGTAAAATAGGGGCCTAGTCCCAATTATGGATTGGCTAGACCAATCTTTCTTGAACCGATCTATCAGATTACATCAAGGATTAGCTTTAAGTCCAGATCTTTTTGCTTTAGACATGGATGTTCTTAATAGACATGTGAAAGAGGACATACCCTAGTGTATGATTTTTGCTGATAATATTCATCGTATTGATAAGACTACAGGGATGTCAATATTTGATCCGACCCAAACCTAACTAGGAAAATTTCATAATCAGGTTAACCCGTTTGTCATATGAGTCGAGTTATGAGATTATGACCCGTTTGGTTCGGGTTGACCCGAAAACCTGAAGGTGACTTGAATTGACCCACGAGCCCATTCTGCGGGTTTCTCCTTTCACAAGTGATTTGTGAAGGCCAGGCCATGCTCACGCTCCCTATCTCCCACGTATGAACTCGTGTCGTGCTCGCCTACAGGCCCTGCACCGCACTCACCTTCTCGCGAAATCCCCGCAGGCTGCGGCACTCCTAGCCTCCTGCGCTCCGCAGCTAGCCTGCGCCTGAGCCCGTGCACCTGGACTCGTGCATGTGCCACGCTCACCTGCACCATGCACGCCCTCCCAAGCCCGCATCGCGCTCGTCGTGCCTGTGTAATCCAGGTTAAGGTTTCGGTCAGGTAAATCCAATAATCCACGCGGGTCGGGTTCGGATCAGACATTTTGACCCCTTTATAATACTGGTTTAGGTTAAGGTTAACATGTTTGGATCCGAGTCAATTCCTGGTTCAACCCGAACCCGACTCTAGAGTCTAAAGGTTTTAGTTCCTTATTTATTCGAACCTGACTCAATACCCATTTTAGCACCACTATAAGACAGATAGATTGAAAATAAACTTGAATTATGGAGCTCAACTATAGAGTTTAAAAGTATTCGTTTGAGTGGATCTAAAACCGAATACTGGAGTGTAATTTTAGTAGTAATGCATCTAGTGCGAGAATTGTGACTTTGGGCCATCAAACTAAGAGTACATGATTTAAATATCTTTGGTATATTGTTCAAAGTGATGGTGAAATAGATGAGCATATTATTAGTAAAATTCAAGTTGGTTGAAATAGAGGAATGCCTCGGGCCTATTGTGTAATGGAAAATTACCCCTCAAACTTAAGGGAGGGTGAGACCTGCACTGCTTTATGGCGCAAAATGTTGGCAATTAAAAGAAAGGCATAAAATTAAGTCGAGTGTTGCAGAGATGAGGATGCTTAGATGGATGATTGGCTTCACTCTTAGAGACGTAATATGAAACGAGTATATGTGAAAAAGTTGGAATATATTCAGTGGCAATAAGATTTGAGAGAAACACCTCAGATGATTTGGTCACGTAAAACGCCAGCCTTCTAATGACTCAACTAGGAGAATAAATGTATTAGATTTGGCCTATGTTAAGAAAGGTAAAGGTAAACCTCAAAAGACTTGGTTAGAAAATATTAAATATGACTTTTTTATTAAATTTAAATAAGAAATTGACTTTTAACAAGACACGATGGAGAAAAATGATTCATATAGCTGACCCCACGTAGTGGGATAAAGGTTTGATGATGTTATTGTTGTTGTTGTATACATAGTCGTGGAAGGAAAACAAATTTAATAATATGATAAGTAATAAAAGAAAGATACTTGCTCTTTTCTTTTAGTTTTGTTAAGCCATAACCTAAAGTACAAACTGTGATCACCAAGAAAAAAGTCAAAACATATTAAAGTATAGCAGTTCATTATGCATCTTACATTTGTACCAAAAAAGTAAAGCCCAATCATGTTTGTCACAAGATGGTCGAGCTCCGAATGACTAAATGCACTAGTCAGCATTGTGTGGAGGCTTCCACTTTTAAGGTTTTCAAGTGAAATCTGCCCAAAGTAAATGTAAATTTCAAAATCCTAGCCAACCAGTATTCATCTTTGCATGGAGGAATGGAAACTAAAAAAAATTGTTAATCGTGTTTTCAGCTAGACGATTACCACAAAATGTTTCCTCATAAATGATAAATCAGCAAATTGCCACAAGAAGTATATAGCGACATTAGTTCCAATTAACCCAAGAACTACTTCATCTGATGTAGGCACATTTCTCCTGCATAATGAAAAAAACATTTACTTTTAACAAGATTACTGCAGCACAACATGACGTTAGATTTAAACTATCCATTTCAATCAACAAAATACAGCGTGATAATGAAGTAATTGTCAATTCTACTCAAAAACAGATTTTGAGAGCAAGGTCCCCAAAGAGTTCTGGGTTAATTCAAGACTGTCACCACAAATGTTCATGTTAAAAAATTGGAAATGTTACAATGATGCTTATTTTAAGTGTTTTATGAATCCTTATTGTTCATTTAGTCCTATTGACTCTGAGTGTTATTTTCAGAAGTGAAATTTATTTGGCATAATCTTTTAGCATAAATTTATGTGTTTTTTTTTTAACCATTTTTGCCATTATAATCCTTCCACATTTCTTATATACATGTCTTATTGGCGCATCATCTTCCCTGCTTTCTACATTCACAAATCAATTAAATATATTTTTGACAACATATCTCCTTTGGGTTCCACTCCTACAATTTTTATAATATAATTGTTCTTAACATAACCTTCCTAATTTTAGCAAATACCCATCTAAATAATCTCATTTTTAATGCACTTTACTATATTACTAATGAATTCTTCTTTGCACGGTAATTGGATCTAATATATCCAATTTAATTGGTGTTAGATGAATTATTTTTAAGTGCTCATGATATTATCATATTGCTTAGTACACACGAGGCATTTTTTGATTTTAATCACTCACTCAAACCTACAAAGAATATCTCTATATATATATATATATATATATATGATAAGATAATTAAGCCCATCACATCAAAGTATCTCTTGTTCTTCTAACAATATTAAGTGATAATTTTCAACTTACATCATTAAAATTGTGTATATATACTAGGCATTTTTCCACCAAACCAAAGCCTCATATTCTAGACACTTCATAGTTCTAACATGATACTTATCTCAGTAGAAATCTCACTTATTTGAACTATCTATTACAAATAACATCGGGACGATAAAATCAAGGGAAAATGATTGGATTTGTTATCATTCTCCCACCATCCGTTTTAAGTATAAGGTAATAAATTTCAAATCTCAATATCAAACTAGTTGTTACTATATGTTTGGTACTTAGTGCATATATAATAACTAGCCTTAATTAAAAGTGTTATCTCATGATTGGGAGAGATAATTAACAAATGGGCTTGCTCCTATGAAAAACTTGAAACTAAATCATAAAGTCCTCAAAAAATGAAGTCACATTGGTGATAATTTATCTTCAATCTAATATATCTTCCAAAAATTTGCTATTGGAACTCCCTCAAAATGCCCTCATCAAGAGGCCAGGCACGAATATTCAAAGCCCACAATAAAATGGAAACGGTGCCTTCTACAATAAGTCAAGGCCCCACTACCACATCCAACACCTATATAATGCAACAACATATTAGCTATGGTACTAAGGCCTCATTTGTTTGCCCGTTTTTTGTGCTTATTCCGTCTGCCAACGTCAAAGCAGAAATTTTTTTTTGTCTGAAAAACCCGCTTTTTCTTATTATGTTCTTAATACCAGTGTTTTGGCTAAAAACGTGAAAGCGAAAAGTGAACGCCATTTTCAGAGACGTTCAGCGAACTGCCCTCGTTTTCTCTATTTTACCCTCTCACGACACGCACGAACTCATGTATCCTCTTCTTCGAGCATCTCATTCACCGCGACAAAGGCTTAAACGAGGAATCGAATCCGGGTCAAAAATCAACTCAGAAATTTGTTGAAGATTCCTCCTCCTCCTTCCGCTTTGCTCCTTTCTGCAAATACAACTCCAATCCCATTCGCATCCATCCGATTTCTGGCAACATTCGTCATCCATAGGTATGCCCTCTTCTATTAGACCAAATACAACCTTATCTCGTCAGAAGTAGGACAGCACATGAGTATTTTCTATCCACTGGGCGGTGACAATAGTGGGTCGCCGTCGCTGCCGTGGATGGAATCCAGTAGAGATTCACCTTCTCGTTCTGGATAAAGTTACAAAAAAAAGGATTTTTTCAGAAGAAGTGTTTTTTTTTTTTTGTGTAAGATTAGTGATGAAGTTAGGTTAGAAAAGGATTGGGTAGGTTCATTTGATCACCTGGCATTTTTTTATAAGTTCGTTGACCGAAAAGAGTTTTGGATAGGTGTTGATCGGTTGTTTGGAGAAGGTGATACTTACTGAAGTAGATGCTTAATCCTGCAAAAAAAAAAACTTTCTAAAAGGTGATGCTTACTGAAGTAGCAGGTAATTCCATAAAGATTATGGTAAAAAATTCTATGTAAAACTTATCAAATGAAGTTGGAAAGGGCTCTACGGCTTCTAAATCAAAAAAGAAAGATTGTTCTTTATTCAGTATAAATTCTGTCCTAACAAGATTTATATGGATCTGGATAAATCTTATATAAAGAATGAGTCTTATGGACCTTAGATCTTAGTAAATAACACTAAAAAGAGATTCAGATAAGCTAGCGGAACTTCTAATTTCAAAGAATTAGTAAATGTTAGGAAGGATAATAATAAGTTTCCAACTGGTAGATCATTTATTGCTCTTATTAATGTTGTTCAAGGGGATGCTAAAGTCATTAATACTGATAAAGTTCATTGATGCTAAAGGCATTTCACTTTCCTTATTATATTTTCTTACAATATGTAGATGTTTTTATCTCATTATAGTATTGTAATCAGTATATGTGTAACAATTTTGGGATATATGACTAGATGCATGCACACCATGTTACAAATATTTGTATGTTTATTATAACATACTTTACTAACTTACTAATATATATGTTGACTAACAAAAAAAAATGGGAAGCAAAAAAAAGGAAGTGCTCCAGCAACATGGGAGATGGAAACCACATTAATCTACTGTGACATCTGTATTAAGGAGATAGAATTGGGAAACAGACCAACAACTCACTTTAGTAAGGAAGGGTGGCGAAACTTATCCAAAAATTTTAATGAGCGCACAGGTCGAACCTATGATCGTGCCCAATTAAAAAACAAATGGGATCAACTCAAGAAGAAGTGGAAGCTTTGGAAAGATTTAATGCACAGTGAAGCTGGAATAGGATGAAATCCTTTGAAGAAAACAATTGAAATAAATGGTGGAGCGAAAAATTAAAGGTACAATAGCAGATATATATATATACACACACACACGTTAAGTTACATGATTCCATAAAACATAATACACTTATCAATCAACTTGTCTTCCTATATTGTAAGTTTTTCCTTCAGCAAAGAAGTTTCGTTATAATGGAATCATGTCTGAGCTTGAGGAAAAATTAGATATCATGTTTGGTCGCATTATTGCTATTGGTGCTAATGTATGAGTTCCAAACTTTGGTGTATTGCCTCCTGAACTAAGAGATGCAGATGACATTGCATCTTCTGAAGAAGAACACCATGATGATGAGGGAAATACATTACATACAGACAGTCTTGATGATCCTATTAGAGATGATTCACAAAGATCACATAATACTCGACCAATTACACATAAAAGAAAAGAAATTAGAACAACCAAACCAGGTGGAAGACAAATGTTCATTGATCATATTGAGGAGCTCGTAAGCGCTGCTAAATCTATTAATTCTACGCTATCATCATCAACTGCTTCAAGGAAATGTCTAACAATTGCAGATGCATTGGAAGAAATTTCTAAAATACCCGAGATATTTGACGATCCAGAGTTTTATGACTTTGTTGTTATGTATATAATAGATCGGAATCAAAGGGAGGCTTTCATGGGACTTCCAACTGATAGAAAAGTTTGCTTTTTAAAAAGACGATACCACAGGAGTTTCACATTATTATTGTAGGTAGTACATTTACCTTAAAGTTTTTTATATATAAATATACTATAAATTATTATTTATAAAGCTAGTATAAATATAATTGTAAATGATTGATGATATACTTATAATATATTCTTATTTTATTTCAAGTTTTTTGATGAAAATTGAGTTTCGTCAAATATGACTTACTCCAAAGTAAAGCATGAGAGGACAATAGTTTAGTTTTGTTGTTTGGTAGATGTAATTTTCATGTACTTTTACTTTGCTTATTTAGATCTTGTTATGCCTTTGTACTCCTATCCCTGTGATAGGTGGTTGCTGCATTCTGCAGTATTTGGTAAACTTAAACTTGAACATTCATAAGTTTTATTTTTATTAATGCCAATGGATGATTGTTGACAAGATATAACTGCAGTTATGATTACTAAAATTCTTCGTAGTTACAAGCAAATCGGAATGCAAATCATGATGCAGACTTCTTTTGGATCCATGCATTTCGTTTTTTCTTTATACTTGCAACTCCATTTTTGCAGTTTATTTGGGATTCAAATGTGAAAAAATTGCAGGAGAGATGTAGCATAGTTGTGGTATCTATGTAGAGAGGATTTGTGAATTAATACAAATGTGTAAACTAATGCTCCTGCTGTGGATTTTTTTACATATCCAAATTTTGACGGTAATGATGTTGTAACTAGGACATTGTTGAGCCGAAGGACACTGGTTTTGGAATGACTACAACGGAGATGAGAAAGTTATTAGATCTTTGATGTGACTATTCTCACAATCTTCATTTAATTTTTTGCACGAAGTTACAAGATTATCACTAAAAATAAGATTGCTTACATAATTTTTCTTTCAAATTCCATGTTGATTGGGCCCTCATCAGACACTGCTGCTACCTTTAAATGGATTGAAACTCACGACCGTTAATAACAGCATGAACTCCACCTGCACCAAGGAGGATTGAAATGATTGTTCCCATCTTCGAAATGATTGTTCCCATCTTCCATAAGATAGGAGAGAACTTTGAAACCGTAAGGAAATAGAACTGCTCTACATCCAGCTTGTTTCAGGAGACTGTTTCGCTCCTCTTGCCCTCATCCTCTTGCCCTCATCGTCAAAATTTAAGATAATAAAAAATAATTTATTTAAATTATATATATTTTTTCATTTATGTAAGTAGTAAAAAATTTTGTAAATTTGTGTTTAATATATGGGTAGTTTCGTAATTTATGATGAAAAAGCTGAAATTGTTAATCGTACCAAACACTAATTATCTATTTTAAAGTTTGAATAAGCACATAAAAAGCAATTTAACAAAACAATATTATGTAATAACTCCATTATATAGAACGTTATTTCTGAAACTTCATTCTCTCTACAACCGCTTCAAAACAAGCTTTTTCTAGAACATCGACCAACCAAACGAGGCCTAACTAACAATCCTATTTTTTCACACCCACATCAAATATATCTAAGTTGATTACCGCTTCAAAGGGACCACATACTCTCTCAGGAAATCCAAGTTCTAAGTATCAATACGCAAACCAACCAGTAGAAACCAAAGTACTCTCCAACTAAAGATTTCTTCATTTGCAGGACATGTTAACCGTCTCAACAAGCCCCATCAGCTTGCAGGGGAATAAACAACTCCGTCCAGCTCGACTTATAGAGTAGCCATCACGCCACCAAATACATCCCTACCTAAAATTCTCCCTGTCTGGATGCAGGACATGTTCCTATAATAGTCTACATTATCCTTATAATGCAATGGTTGTCACTGTTTAAAATTAGATTAATATAAATTTCTGCTCTTCACTCTGTTCTGTTTTCTACTATCTGCATTTCAGTTTAAACCTTTACCGTGAGTTCATCAACAAACGCATAAATTTATATGTATGACAAGAATTACCCATAGCTGCGCCAAAACCCGGATGACTTCCAAGCACCAAACCCCTTCCTTTGTAGGAAGGAGAACTTAAGCAACTGAGCTCCGACAGACAAATGGCTTGTGATGCCAGAAGTCGATGCATATGTTCTTCTTCCCAAAATCTGCCTCATAAAAAACCAATTACAAAAAGTGAAAGAAAAATTACCACTCCCCGCCAAACGCTGCTGAAATGATTCCCGCAAAACGAGAGAGGAGGGAACAGGCTCCAGCGACCGTGATAAAGGTCTAAGATGAGCATCGTAAGAGAAGCCTCCACTCTCAGCAGCCGTCGCCGCCGATCGGCGGAGCAGAAATTTATTAAGATGTAGAAGCCGCTGCATATCTTCAAATTCAAACTTGCTTCGCAGAGAGTTCCGGAACGGCCAGTTTATTTTACTCTCGTGGCCCTAACTGATCAGATTTGACACAGTCCTGGCCGTTCAAAACTAGACCCACCGTCCTGGTTAGCGTTTCTTTCTCTGCATTGGCGACTAGGGTTTTAGCTCCTGCAAGGAGAAGTTATTACTCCGGACGTAGCTCTACCGGATGACCCGACCCATCCAGCTATATGAAAACTTATATAGGGTGTCAATTTCAGGTCACGGGATGTGTTCGGGTTAAATTCGGAACTGATTTGGCACTATTCCGGTCATACCGAACCGTTTGCATACGTGTCGGTTTTGCGGGCCCGAACCCGACCCGATTCAGGTTCAGGTCAACCCAACCTGACCGCCCGACCCGCTACGGGTTCCACAGCGGCACGCGACGCGGGTTTCGAGTTCGACAGCGTCCGGAAGCAATGCAGGCAGCCAGCGTTCAACAGCAGCAGCCGGCAACGGGCAGCGGCGACGAGCTGCGTGGGCAGCAGCGACGCGCGGCGCGGTGGACTGACCGCGGGACGCGGGTCTGTGAGTAGTCCATGACAACGGCTGGGCCTGGGCACCTGGGCAGACGCGAGTCACGGGGCACTGGCGTCTGGCGCACTGTAGCACTGGGCAGTGCCGCAGCGGCTGGATCGCGCGTCACGTGTGGCACTATCGAACAGCTGGTGGATGCATGCGGGTAGAACGACGCTAGCAGAGCGGACAGATTGGGCAAACGGGTCATTCCGGGTCATTTTCGGGTTTCCGGGTCAACCGAACCTGACCCGATTAGGGTTCGGGTCAACCCAAAGCTGAAATTTTCGGGTCGGGTTCGGGTCGAGTCAAATATTGACATCCCTAATTTTAAAATCGTGAGTCTAGACAACCCATTTATCTTTTATATTTAAAAAAAAATTCAAAAGCTCTCAAGAATTTTTACGAAATAAAATTTTTTATACTTGCTAAGAAAAAAAATGAGAAACAGAATATAAAGATGAAAATTGATTTAGAGGATTTCACATTCTCTATAGAGAGAAAAATATTAAGAGTAAGGTATATTTTCCAAGCATAATAATTTCTTTTCAACATATATTATGAGATAATATATATTTTGTTGAACTTAGTTTTTCAATAGAGAAATCTATCCTAAATGTAAATACAACATAATCGTGTTCACCTTCAATGCATATCAAGTTCTCAAACAAGTCAAAATACTTCAACGAGGAATTTATAAACTGAGAAGTAATTATTTTTGTGATGTTTCGCATACATTTCACTTAGAATGTATTCTTTTGTAAATCAACTATATAAAATGACAAATTTGTAGACATTCATTTATTCTCTCAAGTATAATTATTATGTATTTTTTCTCTTTTGTCTATGTGATGTTTTGTTCATTTTGAAGTTATGTATCACTATGTACTGTTGTGTACCATTGTGTATCACTGTGTACTTCTATATACTGCTACTGTTGTGTACCGCTCTGTATCGTTATATATCATTGTGTAAAATACACTATGTATTGCTAGGTATTTATGGACATAGAGGATGTGTTGTTGCACATGAGGGTCTTGATGTAATATTTTATTTATTTTATTTTTGGTGTCTAGATGTCTATTTTTAAGAACTGACAATGCGCTTAAAAGAGATGTGTACACCATCACTCCACTACCAAGTCAAACATCACACTTTCATACGATTAATTATTTTGTGCGGATGCCAAACGTTGTCTAGAGACCAACCAGAATGCACCACATCACTTTTTTGCTCGGTATAGATGTAGGGTACCGTTGTGTACCGAGTGTTGCCCTCAACCCATCTGATATCCACACATAATAATTTCTCGTTTCTTACACCAACATACAAGACATGAAAGAGATGGAAGGATGTTCAAAATGTAGAACAACTCAACCCTTCGGTGAGGAAGGAGACGGAACCGGAACAGGAAGATAGAAACGAAACATAATTTTTCTTGTCATTAACAATAGAGTATACAGCCGTATTTATAGATAAAACAAAGTGTACTAGCTACCCAGAATTAACGAAATAATAAACTAAAATACATTTTCATTTTCTGTTTTGTTTTTATATTCTAACACCCCCTGGCAAACTGAGGAAGGGATAGCAGATATCAGTTTGTTGGTTAGATGCTGAAATGAGCCTCTCGGTAAAGCTTTGGTAAACAGATCCGCAATTTGGTCGGTAGTGGAAATGTGATGGACGGTTATGCTTTGACTCTTGATACATTCCCTAATGTAATGACAATCCACCTCAATGTGTTTCGTGCGAGCATGGAACACTGGATTGTTGGCTAAGGCGATAGCGGATATGTTGTCACAAAAAAGCTTTGTGGGTTCTGTCTGTGGGTAACCAAGTTCTTGAAGCAACGTTCGAGTCCAAACAACGTCTGTGGCAGCGGACGCCAATGCTCTGTATTCAGCCTCCGTGGATGAACGAGCCACAGTAGACTGTTTCTTGACACTCCAGGCGACGATAGAGCTGCCTAAGAACGTGCAATATCCGGACGTCGATTTCCGATCGTGATGGTCACCAGCCCAGTCAGAATCTACATAAGATGTTAGCAAAATAGATGCACTATCGAGAGGTAAACCCATGTGATTGGAGCCTTTAATATAACGCAAAATACGCTTAAGGGAATTAAAGTGTTGTTCGGTTGGTTTATGCATGAATTGGCAAGCTCGATTAACCGCGTAAGCAATGTCGGGCCGCGTGAGAGTTAAGTATTGCAACGAACCTACCAGTTGCCGATATAGCAGAGGATTGGAAAACTCAGGGGACGGAGGGTTCGTTGAATTTTCTTTAGTGCATATGGGCGTAGAAACCGCCTTGCAGTTAAGCATTCCTGCTCTTTCAAGAATAGTTTGCGCATACCTTTGCTGATGAAGAATGATTCCCTGTTTGGTTTTGACTGCCGTGATCCCCAAAAACTGTGATAATTGTCCAAGATTTCGCATATGGAACCGCGTATTGAGATTGTGAAGAATATCTTGAACCATGTTTTGATTATTACCAGTAAAAATGATGTCGTCAACATAGATTAAAAAATAAAGACGAATATTGTTTTTGCTATAAATGAGTAAAGAAGGATCTGAGTGGCTTATGCCAAAACCAAGATTAGTTAAGTGACCGGTAAGTGTAGCAAACCACTGGCGAGGAGACTGTTTTAAACCATAAAGAGCCTTCTTGAGTTTGCAAACATAATTCGGGTACGCCGGGTCATGAAACCCCGGAGGTTGCTTCATGTAAATAGTTTCAGTTAAAGAGCCATGTAAAAACGCATTAGAAACATCTAATTGATGTATAGGCCACGAATTGTGTAAAGCTATAGTAATAAGAATGCGAAAAGTAGGTATTTTGGCGACGGGACTAAAGGTTTCATGATAATCTATACCATATTCCTGATTGCAACCGAGAGCTACCAACCGAGCCTTATGTCGTGAGATAGATCCGTTAGAGTTGTATTTGGTGCGGAACATCCATTTGCAGCCGAGAATGTTCATGTGAGGAGAGGAAGGAACTAGATCCCAGGTGCCTTGAGATTGGAGAGCTTGAAATTCAAGTGACATAGCATTCCGCCAGTGAGGAAACTGAGAGGCGTGAGTGTAAGATGTAGGATCAGTTGGAGTAAGCTGATGAGTAAGATTAAAAATAGCTTTGGGTTTGAGGTGCCCAGTGCGAGATCGAGTAACCATATGGTGCGGTTGAGTAGTGTGTTGAGTCATTGTAGTGTTAGTAGTGGGAGAGGTGGTCTGAGAGGCAGGCAGAGATTGAGTGATATGAGACGGGCTGCAGGAATGAGTAGGTTCAGGAGTGACAGGTATACGGTTGGTGGTAGTTGAAATGCAAGAAGCAGGAACCAGGAGAAGAGGAGGGATACTGCCCGGAGTGCTAGAAGATCCAGTGAACTGCTGATTTTGGTGATATGGAAAAATATGCTCAGTGAAGACAACATGCCTAGTAGTATAGATTTTATGAGTGGTAGGATCCAGACAGTGATATCCTTTTTGACGAGAAGCATATCCAACGAATACGCAAGGTGTCGAGAGAGGACCAAGCTTTGATTTGTAGTAAGGGCGAAGCCAAGGATAGCATAAACTCCCAAACGTTTTGATATGCGTGTAACTAGGCTTCTGTTTGAACAAGATTTCGTAAGGAGTTTTGTTGTTTAAAACACGGGACGGAAGAATATTGATAAGATGAACCGCAGTAAGTAAAGCATGAGTCCAAAGTGTGTGAGGAGCGGAAGAGTGAAGAAGAAGAGTGCGAACGGTTTCTATAAGGTGTCTATGTTTACGTTCAGCAATACCGTTTGTGCAGGCGTGTAAGGGCAAGTGTATTGGTGTAACATACCATTAGTTTTGCAAAATTGTTGAAAATTGTGATTCAAATATTCTCCTCCGCCATCCGTGCGAAGAATTTTAATAGTAGAGTCAAATTGACATTTAACCATAGCATAAAATTCAAGAAATTTGGAATACACTTCCGATTTATGAATTAACGGAAAAACCCAGCAAAACCGCGAAAAATCATCAATAAACGATACATAGTATGCAAAACCATTAAGAGATTTAGTGGGAGACGGTCCCCAAACATCAGAATGAACAAGATCGAAAGGAGCTAAAGTAGTAGACTTAGAAACCGAAAACTGTAAACGTTTGTTTTTGGCTAAATTACAAGTATGACAAAACTTGGAAGTAATGTTTGTATGAATTTCAGGATGGTATTTAGCCAGAATGCAAATTTTATTCGGATCGGGATGACCCAATCGAGAATGCCACAAATCTTGCACGGTTTGGACCGCAAAAAGCGCCAAGGTAGATGCCGGGACCGACGACCGAACAGCGTAAAGACCATTATGGCAAGGTCCCTGTAGTAGAACCCGCTTGGTCTTCAAATCCTTAATTTTGTAACCAGAGGAAGAAAACGTTATCGTGCACGAGTTATCATGAGTTAATTGAGAAACAGACAATAAATTAAAAGAAAGATTCGGAACTTGATGAAGTTTGCTAAGTTGTAAATTACCTGAGGGAGTAGGTAGGATGCCTTTACCTGTATACTGAATTGGTAATTGCTGCCCATTACCAATGGTAACTTGAGACTGTCCATGATAAGGTTCTTGAGAGCGAAGATTGGATGCATTTGAGGTCAGGTGGGTC